ACGTTCTACCCCGAAAGTTTCTATCCTTTAACTGCTACTTGTTTAACAGGCTTCCGCATAAATGTTGTCCAAACACTAAAATATTAACCTCTTTAAGTATAGAATCTGTTTTTATCGTTCCGCTATATCATCGTAATTCACATTTCCTTTTTCTCCCTCTAATGTTCATATCACTTACTTCATTCAGTAACCCTCTACTTTGAGTGGCTCTTGGGCCTTGTATTGGGCGAACTTTATTAAAAGAAATAGCGACCTGTCTAAATTTTGCAAAACTGTACTGGCAAGAATAAATTAGTGATGAATCAGTGTTCGTTTGCGTTTTATCCTAAAATTCCTAGTTTCAGTCGAGCAAGTTTAATCCCGGCATCTTACGATCCGCCGATATATTCTCTTTGGATATTTCATTATTTCGGAAATGCCTGTATAAGAGAACACCCACTTCATTTAATTCGTTTTGGTTGTAACTTGCCATCACCACTATGTGATCACACTGAGTCGCCATCACTCTTTTCATCATAAACCATTTCACTGTCATCAGATTCGAATTCTTCGGATAAGACTTTGTCAAAGATCACCAGGCTTCAACGCCACTTGGTTCTCTCCTGGGTTAATCTATAACTCGGTACATCTTCATGCGAATGCAAAAGAGTTTGCAACTATTCACAGAAACATGTAAACAAAGGGTAGAACCATTAGAATACGCATGTCCCTATAGGCATATTTCATGCTATTTTGCACAATTTAAAATTGAGGTACACGATCTTACACGTACAACGCATTCAAGCGGTTAAAAGAACATTATTATTATCATTATTATTATTATTATTTCCTTTGAGTTCTGGTGTATACGCATTACTTTCCGGGTCCCGACAAGAGACCAAGTGTCAGAAATGACATCATGACATTTTCCACTGAGCAATTTTGAAAAAAAAAAAAATCATAAATCCCTTCGTAAGGTGTGAGCTGTACTCGCAAGAACAATTTTTTGTGTTTCTTGAAGGCATGGGCTACCAGGAATCCTTTCAATGAGTCTATTGGAATCTTTTCCACTCAATCCGAAGGATCCACCTACAACTGAATTGTTGATGTCCTCATGTGCAACATTTTTTATTATTATTATTATTATTATTATTATTATTTTTATTATTATTATTTCCTTTGATTTCTGGTGTATAGTCATTTCCTTCCGCGTCATGACTAAAGACCTAAGATCAGAAATGGCATCATGACATTTTCCACTGACCAATTAAAAACAAAAAAACAACACACATATTTTATATAGATAAAGCCCTTCGTAAGGTATGGGCTGTACTCGTGAGAACATTTTTTTTTATATTTTTTCTGTTATTATCATTATTATTATTATTATTATTATTATTATTATTGTTGTTGTTGTTGTTGTTGTTATTCCAGTTTCCCTCATACGATCATGGTAAGCGACATCCGATCTGGTCAGTACCTCGCTTGAGAATATCAGGTACTGTAAGATTGGGTGTATTTATGGTGTAATCGATAATCGATCGAAGCTGGAATTCGGAGAGCCGAGTTCCAATTTCACTCGGGTTTGTTATAGTCACTTATATTCACCTTTTCTCCTTTTATCTCTAGCTATGAGTAAATTAATAGAACTTGTATCAGTAAATCATTATTATATATATATATAAAAAAATACTTACAGTTGCAAAAATATTTTCGACTTCCAAATAAGCTGCAAAAGGTTGATAAGCCGTAAAATACAAACCAATGACTGAATCAATCCAGTTTTCCTGATTTTCTCTTTGCTACTACTTTTTACCTAAAATAAAGGAAGGCTTTTATTGATACGTTATTGAACATATTTTGAGAGAGTTCTTTTCTGAGTAATTTAAAGGTGCTCGTGAGTAGCATCTTTTTTCATTACAGATAGTGAGGAGTTTTCTGAGATATTGTTAACCGATATTCTTAATCATTCCTAGTGCTCATATTATTACTGGAATTATGGCCCTGTTTAAACTTCTATTCCCTGATTCTTATATGATGAGAATAGGTTAAATTCCTTTGCTGAGATGCCTTTATCAAGACCATAATTATGCGATAACTCATAGCTTTTCAAGTCTTTTGTTATTATAGCCACTTTGTTGCCTGAATTCCTGTACTCGGTATTCATGGTAAAATCCCAGAGGGCTGTGACATTTTTGCCCTGTGGACCTGATGAGGATTTGTGCTATACCATTTTTCCTGTATGAGAATATTTAAAATATGGCCGTATTTTCTAATGAGGGTACGTCCTTCGTCTGACAGATCTATATAGATGTGCTCGTAGCGAAGCTGGTTTCGACGTGAAAAATAGTATTGGTGCGTCGAATTAAACATCTAGAATTCATAGAAGAACAAAAACTTCATTTCTCCCAGTTACGGGTTAACAGCACAACAGAATGCGGTTCTCTAGCTATGGATGGCAGTAAGTCTCGGAGAAGTAAAATTCAGAATTCAAAATCTGTTGTGTTGGGTTAGAAACTACATTGCGAAAACACTTACTTGCTACAAAAGACAAAGCAACATCCCCTAGTGGGCTCAGGCTGTGGACGCTATCCTCTATAGGGGATTCTATAGGGTTATATTGCATTTAAATCATATATATTTAAATTTATTTGCGGCTAGAGCAATTGCATTTTTACACCAAGTATTTATTGGTTATCGCTGAGATACAGCCAACCCCTTAACATGTCCAGTATATTATTTAGTATCAACCCAGACCCCAGCAATGCCAATGTCTGAAATCTAAACTCATTCTTTGATTTTAAACTTATTTAATCCCGATTTCTGTGGTTTGAATACAGTTCCGAATGTTCTTATAATTATGGACACGGTTCTAACCTTGTATCTTGTTGATAGGAGGTGAAAAGTGCACGGAGTTGTTCTCTTTTGTCGTGAGGTTTTTCTTTCCCTCCTCTAAAACTTACCGTCCTTTTTTGTCTGGAAATATTTTAGCGTTTATGAAACAAATAAGCTGGAATATTCAAGAGAAAAAAAAATGGAATTACTGCAAGTAGAGAAAAGCAAGAGTTGCAGAAGACCAAATTACAAAGAAAAAAAGTTGAAAATAGAATAGAGCAGACGTTGCGAATGGAACCCCAGGCAAGTCTTCAAAAATGGCGGTTCTCCAACGTAAAGGTGGCGGGCTACAGAGCATTCTGACCTAGCTGAAATATCAGGTAGGGTGAAATGACATCAGCTTATTCCTGTCGTTATCCCCCCCCTTAAAGACAAAGCAACGCGGAAAGAAAGTGAGGACACCCAACGACACAAACGTAAACACGTTTACACAATCCACCCAAAATTATGCACACACAGAATTAGTTAACACGTGCAACATGTCTAAGCAAGCCCTTTGCCGATACGATTTTTCTACTAGGGACGTGGGGTGCTGAAAAGTTCTAGATCCGACCACTTACTAGAATCTGACCAAATATCAGAATTCTTTTTTGGAATCTTTTCTTGAAGACCTTTTCAACACTCGCTCATACTTGACTGACAAGCGAATCTATCTATCTATCTATCTATCTATCTATCTATCTATCTATCTATCTATCTATCTATCTATCTCATTCAGTTTTATCTATCTATCTATCTATCTATCTATCTATCTATCTATCATCTATCTATCTCATTCTGTTCTTTATCCATCCATCTATCTATCTCATTCAGTTTTTATCTATCTATCCATTCATCCATCTATCTATCTATCCATCCATCTATCTATCTATCTCATTCAGTTTTATCTATCTATCTATCTATCTATCTATCTATCTATCTATCTATCTCATTCAGTTTTATCTATCTATCTATCTATCTATCTCATTCTGTTCTTTATCTATCTATCTATCTATCTATCTATCTATCTATCTATCTATCTATCTATCTATATATGTGTGCATAATTGCATTTACACATGCGCGCACATGCACATATTTATCTATATATGCCAATTTTTTACGCTTAGCCTGCGCAAAATCACAATGGTGTGGTCCCCAGATAGGATGAATTTTCAACATATTACCTCAAAGCATTGCTCTTCAGCTCCAAACATACATACATACATGCAAAATTCGTACACGTAAAAAAAAAATGCATACGAGTGTGCGTTGAAAAGTCTTTAGCTTGACACTTCCCGACCTCTGAATAAATAACGAAATATCCTAATTTCTTTCGAACATAGAAATTTATTAACACCCCGCCTCGTACAGAGAGAGAGAGAGAGAGAGAGAGAGAGAGAGAGAGAAATAAACTAGTATTCTAGACGAGAACAAAGGTGGGTGGGGGGTATTTTACCAGACAATTTTAATCTCTCTCGCTTTAATAGGCAAGGATCAAATTCGAAGATAGTCTTCCAGATCGTTTGCCTGTGTAGCGAGTTCAATTCTAACCGAATAGCCTTCTGATTTTATTGTGTGCCAGACCCACTCTTTCTTTCTCTCTTCTTTGCATCCTCTTTTGTTGTCTATAAAAAAAACGGCTGTTTTAGAGAAAGATAGACGAAAAGAGAAAGGGTCGGGAGAGAGAGAGAGAGAGAGAGAGAGAGAGAGAGAGAGAGAGAATTCTGAAGAAAGCTAAATAAAATAATGAAAGAGTAAAAAGAGAAAGCCAGATAGGTAAAGGTAATATTAATCTTAGAGAGAAGGCAAATATCCTTTTGGAAAGATGAGGTTTTTTTTAGGGGAAGAAAATGTGAAGATGAGAGAAATGTAATAAAGAAACAGTGGCAGTTGAGAAATGGGGAAAGAGTTCATAAGAGAGAGAGAGAGAGAGGGGGGAGAGAGACGAGAATAGAAAGAAGAGAGATATAAAGAGCAAAAGAAAGAAAAAGAGAAAAGAAAGAAAGGGAAGATATAAAAAAAGAGTAATGAAAAGGAAAAAGAAAGAAGAGAAATAAAGAAAGAAATAATAGAGATGAATAAGACAAGAAAAGAAAGAAGAAGAAAAATACAAATAAAGAAGAAAAAGAAAAAGAAGAAGAAGAAGAAGAAGAAGAAGAAAAGGAAGAAATAAAAATGAAAAGAAATAAAAGATCAAATAAAATAGAAAAGAATGAAAATATGAATAATTAAAAGTAAAAGAAATGAATTGAAAAAAAGGATAAAAACAGAAGAAAAAAATGAAAGAAAGAATCACAGAATGAAAGAATGAAAGAAAGAAAGAATAAAAGAAACAAGAATGAAAGAAAGAAGAATAAAAGAATGAAAGAATGAAAGAAAGAAAGAATAAAAGAAACAAGAATGAAAGAAAGAAGAATAAAAGAATGAAAGAATGAAAGAATAAAAGAATGAAAGAATGAAAGAATAAAAGAAACAAAAAATGAAAAATGAATGAAAGAAAGAATAAAAAGAAAAAAAAGAAGTAAAAGAAATAGAGATGATTAATAAAGAATAAGAAAAGAAAAGGAAAAGAACTGAAAATAAAGAAGATTAAAAAGAGAAAAGAAGAAGAAAAAGAAGAAAAGCAGGAGAGAATGAAAATGGGAATAAACAGCGAAGGTAAAGACATACAGAGAGAGAATGACAGAGAGTGAAAAAAAAGAAAGAAAGAAAGAATAAATGAAAGAAAGAGAGTATGAAAAAGAAAGGATAGAGAAAGAGCAATTAAGATCAGTAAACTCGAAATACTTGGAAGAAAGATTTTATCAAAGAAACAGAAAGTGGCGCCCCAACGTAGAGCAACATCTCATCTCCACCCTTACGACAGCTATGAGTTCGATCCTTGTATAGAGTTTCATAATGGAGTCCTTCTGTCGCATGAAGCAAAGCTTCATAATTATGTACGCCATATCGTGGCTCTCTATCTCCGATCGCAGTCGTAGCCTTTTACCAAACTTAGCTAAGATTGGCCAACCACATAGCTGAGGGATTTAACTATTTCACCCCAGTGTCTCGAACCCAGGTTAAAATCAAGATGCTGATTTTTGAGATAGGCAATCTATACTGAAAAGACTGACGCAGCACAATCTTCTAGATGCATATTTGGCATTGTACTGTACTAATGCAGATATGCCGAAAGAGACAGCGAATAATGGGGTACGGGAGTGATGTAACTGAGTTGGGTAGGATGGGGTATAACACTGAGAGATTGAGAGAGAAAGAAAGAAAGAAAGAAAGAAAGAAAGAAAGAGAATAAACGAAAGAAAGAGAATAAAAGAAAGAAAGAAAGAGAATAAAAGAAAGAGAGAAAGAAGGTGAATTAGCAAATGTATGATGGAGTTATGCGTTTATTGACTATAATCGACACAAGGCCACAAGTTTGGGGCACCGAGTGAGGATCACGCTCACTCGTAATGATCTATGAGACAAGTTTGTCAATCGTTACATCATGACGAGGCGTCTATGGATGATAGTGCTGAGAGAAAAAGAAAGGGGAAAAAAGAGACTATACGGCTAGTGATTACAAAAAAAAAAGAAGAAAAAAAAGAAGATAATCGTAAAGAACAAAAAAACAAAACAAAAAAAAACAATGAAAGATTGAGTAGAGCCCGACTATTCAAACGGGACTAAAAAAAAAAAAAAATAACGAAATAATCTTTCGTAAAACAAAGTGGGAGTTGTAAAAGATGGAATGGTAAAAGGGGCTTGAATAATATCATCAGTGATGTCAGGGTGACCTCGTCTGCTTGTGTTGAAAGCAGACAGAGAAGGGTTGAGACTGACGACTCGTAAGACGCATGCGTGTGGGCGTGCACGCGCGGGCACATGTTCGAACACGTGGTTGTACGTGGGGTGCCATTAAGGTGGACGGAATAATTTGGGTACTTGCAGGTGGAGCTTAACGGTGACAATACGGGGCCAAAAGTCATAGGTTGCTAGATTTTTAATTGAATTGCTGAGTCGGTGATGCTTGTCTGCAGGGTCGTTACGGGGAAAAAAAGTGAGTAGACTCAGATCTAATAACTACTTTTATATTTCTGGACATTTAAAATAAAAGAAATGAATTTAGATATACTGAATATCTGATGCAAGATCTTTTAACTGGTTGGTGGTAGGTCGGTGTTCGATCCCACTTAAAAACTAGCATATCATACGCTGATTTTCAAAGAGAGTATATTTTCAAAACTTCTTGTAAAATATCAGAATCCCGTTTCTCTGAATTTGTATGCATATATATATATATATATATATATATATATATGTGTGTGTGTGTGTGTGTATTTAACATATATATATACATATATATGTATGTATATATGTATGGCATTAATATATATATATATATATATATATATGCCATATATATATATATATATATATATATATATATATATATATATATATAAATATATGTAAAAAAGAGTGCGACATTGAAAATTTATTAGGATTCTCTGATTATCGTTTTTTGTATAGAGCATAAGTATACTATTTGTTAATAATTCAATGAATTTGTCTGCCCCTGACGAACGATGTGTATGCAAAACATCGAAAGATAAGTAAATTGAAAATTATTAATTTATTGACTATTGTCACTCAAGTTATCTGTTGAGTATTTTTTGATAAAACTCTATTTACATTAAAATATATTAAATTATACGTATTTTATTAGTTATTATTGATTTAATTGTTATATATATGTATATATATATATATTGAGAGAGAGAGAGAGAGAGATCATGTTGAGAAAATTGAATAATTACTTTAATTTCCCCCTCTCTCTCTCGTTCTGACTGTCCCTCTCTCTATATAGATATTATTCAATATTCTTAACTTGCTCGATATCGTTTAGCGAGCAGTGAGTTCAAACGCAAGAAGCTTTGTTTGTTTGTTTGTTTTATCTTTCTTTCTTTCTTTCTTTCTTTCTTTCTTTCTTTCTTTCTTAGTCTATTACTGTCTATCTCAGTCTGTTATAATCTATCTATCTATCTATCTATCTATCTATCTATCTATCTATCACAGTATGTTCATATCTATCTATCTATCTATCTATCTATCTATCTATCTATCTATCTATCTATCTATCTATCTCAGTCTGTTATCTATCTCTCAGTCTGTTTTCTATCTATCTATCTATCTATCTATCTATCTATCTATCTATCTATCTATCTATCTATCTATCTATCTCAAGATGTTCACATCTACATTTCTTCATATATGTCTTCGTGACCCTCCTCTTATCAATCGAACTACCAATTTTGTGTTTTTCAAGAGCAGCGTGTGAAAATATTTACAAATATTACGTTGTATCTGATAAAATTGCTCACTTGGTCAATCACACACACACACACACATGTGTATATTATGAACCAGATAATTGAGATCACAATCTAAAATAAATCTAGAATAGTCATTGTTAAAAATCTATATATTTCCAAATCCTTATAAAAACAGCAAAAAAAAGGGGATATTCCATCAAACCGCCGTCAGTCGTGAGACCGGCTGTCATGCAATGTCGGTTTTCAATACGTTTCGGGGTTAGTTATTGATCGTCCACGTTGTCCTTCACGCCAATGATACGGCATGCATGAGATGGATAATAGAGTCATTGGCATTTTTTGGAGGTTGCCGGTTATTCCTCTTCTCGTTCACACACGAGAGGAAGTGATACAATGGATTCCAAATATATGCAGATGTAGGGCTTAATTACGGTGACTATCACCTCGACCATCAAAGAAGAAATGAAATTGGCGTATATCTCCGTGGGTAAGCCTTGGGGATTTTGCAATGAAACACCTGTTGTCCTGGTTAATTTATGTATGATCTCATAGTTGAAACGTTAAAGTCACTCCGTTAATAACGCGCGCGCGCGCGCACACACACACACATACATACATACATGTATGTGTGTATATTGTCATTCTTGGCGCACACTCGCACCCACAGATATATTTCTTAAAGTGTTATTTTTAGGGGGTATACGTGTTTATATTGACATCCTAGATGTCATTTTCTTTACAGTGATATAAAAAATAAAAAAAATCACTCTCTCTCTCTCTCTCTCCTCTCTCTCTCTCTCTCTCTCTCTCTCTATATATATATATATATATATATATATATATATATATATATGTTAATTTTATATACATTTTTATACATTCAGAACAGTTCTGAAAGTATGTATGACAAATTGGAAACATCCGGTCTATCTATCTATCTATCTATCTATCTATCTATCTATCTATCTATCTATCTATCTATCTATCTATGTATGTATGTGTGTGTGTGTATATATATATATATATATGTGTGTATATGTGTGTGTGTGTGAGAGTGTGTGTGTGCGATGGATAAATTGTCGTCTAAATAACTTAAAAATGAATATAATATTGACATTACATTTTAACAGATACAGTCAGCGACGAAATTATTCGTACACCCATCAATTTTGAATATTTTTATCCATTTCTCAGAATCTAATGCACGTAGGATGCCAGGTTATTTATATGTTAATAAACCCAAAAATGAATAAAAAAAAACCCCTCAATATTCAGAACAATATGTTAAATACAATAAATTCGACAGGCGAATTATGCAAAATAGCAAATGACAAAACTATTCGTACAGTAGGAAATATCATTTTAAATTGATTGATTCGTGTAAGTATAAGTAATCTACATAATTATTTTATCGTTGAAGCCTTCTAGACTATTTATTCAGTTGAATATTTGTGAGAATTCCAGAAAAGAAGATCACGACTGTTACTATTGTTATTCATTCGTTAACAACACGATGGGGAAGACAAAGGAGTTTAGCGTTGACTTGAGACAAAGAATTATTAAGTTCGACAAGTCGGGAAATAGTTACAGTACTATTTCAAACCGGTTAGCTATCCCTAGATCTACGGTAGAGTTCGTTATAAAGAAGTTTAAACAGTTTGGCACGACAGAAAATTTGCCTGGGTGTGGAAGTAAACCTAAATTGTCACCCAGAACTGCACGAAAACTGTGTCGCGAGGTTGATATAAACCCAAGAGTTGTTTTGAAAGACATCGCCAAAAATTCGGATCTGATGGATATCAGCGTAAATACTCGCACAATACAACGTTATTTAAATAGAAATGGGTTGTATGGAAACTGAGCACGACAAACTCCTCTTCAAAAACCATGTCACAGTGTTGCTAGGCTTAATTTTGGCAAAACATTCTGGAACAAAGAAAATTGCTTTTGGGAACAAGTACTATGGCGTGATGAAACAAAAAATGAGCTTTTTAGACATAATAATGTACAGAAGATTTGGTGCAAGAAATGTGAGGCTTTCCTCCCAAAGAACACATTAAAACATGGAGGCGGCCTGATAATGTTTTGGGGTTGTTTTAGCTCAAGGGGGACTGGAAAATTAATTGAAATAAGAGGATTAATTAAATCTGCAAGCTATATCCAAATTCCGGATGGAAATCTATAACTATCAGCGCAAAATCTTCATCTAAGTCGACGATTTACTTTCCAGCAAGATCCAAAACATATAACTAAATCAGTGACTGCGTGGCTTCAGAAAACAAGATTACAGATCTGCCATAGCCTTCAATGAGTTCTGAGTTGAATCCTATTGAAAATCTATGGCAAGAATTGAAAGTGCGAGTAAATGGCTGGTCACTAAAAAACCTTCAGATCTTAGAACGTGTAACCATTCACTAAGGGAAGAAAATCGAAGAAAAGACTTGTTCAAATCTCATCAAGAACTTTAGAAAACTATTGCAGAGCGTTATAAAGATGAGAGACCATGCTATTGACTATAAATATAGCGAAAACTGCTCAATATTTTCTATTTTTCATACAGTTCGTATAATTTTGTCTTTTTCTATTTTGCATAATTCGCCAACCTATTCGTGATTTCTTCCTTTCTTATCAGAACGATCAGAGTAATTTTTCCGAGTTGCCGTACATTCGTAATCACCATTAGTTCCACCAACTTTTTTCCAAATCCTCTGCAATGAGACTGACTAAACAGCCTGAAATGTTCGTACTGAAGCTTCCGGCGCGAATGACAAGCAGTACAACATGCCGTTATAGTGAATTGCGTTATTGTGCTCTCTTTCTCACAGACAGTGCGCAATCTATACCTACTGTACTCTGCAGTTGACAAAATTAAGAATGTATAATGGCGACAATATACCCATCACCCACTATATATATATATATATATATATATATATATATATATATATATATATATATGTGTGTGTGTGTGTGTGTGTGTGCATCCACACGCAGTCTTGTGTGACGGAAGAAGAATCTTTGCTTCATTTATAATATTAATTCGTAATTTTCTTTCTCTAAATATAGATTTTTGTTATATTTTTTATTATAGATTTTTGTCTTCCTTTGAGGAAGTGACTTCTGATCGTGTCATTTGGAGGAATGTCCGTGGGAAAGGCAGCACGTACGTATTTACTAGGCAGAAGGCTAAACATCGTTCTAACAATTCTATAGGTTTCACAAAGGGGTAGCTTGTCTCGAATGTGTTGCCCTCTAGCTAGCATTAATCATATATCATGGGTGGAACATGCTTTTGATCGCCCATGCGTAAAAAACAACGAAAGAGTCCATCACACACACACACACACACACACACACACACACACACACACACACATATATATATATATATATCTTTACAAGTGTAGGTAACTATACTCGTTTCGAAAAAAACTCGAATTTTTGATTTGCCAATAATCAAATCAGTCTCGAGGGAAAAAAACCTTTTAAAAAAGAAAGAGCGATAAACATGAAAGTCTGTCGAAAATAATCGCACAGATACAGGTTCAAAGCCCAAAGAAAAAAACCCTACACGAGTAAACAACTAACAAAAGAGCTCAATACAACCGTAGAGCAGACCTAGATAAACCTAGTGAGCCAGACAAACCTACCTAGGTTTCACCTAAATGGATCGTCAGGGAAAGCTTTCCCTGATGATCCGCTTATGTGAAACCTGTAGGTTTGTCTGGCTCACTAGGTTTATATATATATATATATATATATATATATATTACCAATTTGTGACTGGTAGGGATAATTACAAGGAGGTTATTAATCCAGGGAGAGGTCAACGTAGACTTCCAGACAATAATAATAATAATAAAGGTGAAAATTCTTCACCGGGTCAGTCTTTTTAGGCTTACTACTATCCATTCATTACTTCATTCTTCCCTTTCCTTTTCCATGCTTTCTTCACTATGGGTCTTTGGAGTATTTTTTCAAGAACCTCAAGATCCACATTTGAAGGCCTGTTCAGTAGCCCATCAAAGTGTTTCTTTCATCTTTTGGCCATTCCATCCATGTCTGTGATGAAATCATTTCCGTTCTCTGTCATGACAGGAACGATTTTGGTAGATATGGGGCCAAATACCTGTTTCATCAAGAAGTACATCTGCTTGGTATTATCTGATAACTCTGACCACCATTTTTCCTGCATAGTTCGAAGAGCATGTTAAGCTTCTGCTTTTGCATCTTTAAACTTCTTGAACAGTTTACTGTGTTGTTCTTTGGACAGGCCTTTTTGCAACACAGGAATTCGTATCTGATTCTTTCTTGCAATGATCTCCTTGATAGCATCTTCATTTTAATCAAACCAGTCTTGATGTTTACCCAAAACTTCTTCAGCCGTTTCATATATATTCTTCTTCAAGGAGTCACATGAGGATGTATCATTGACTGCAGCAAGTCGTTGTTTTAGTGATTCCTGTGTTTCCAGGGAGTGCAGTCTCGCGACATTCAGATGTGCAGGAGGCTTTCCATTGGTTTGTCTAGTTTCTGGTTTAAGAACAAAGCTCATCTTGGCCCTCACTAAGGCATGATTAGACTAACAATCCGCACCACGCATAGATCTAACAATATGGTCATCCTGCATATCGCTTGTAATCAATGAGATGCCACTGGCGTGAACGGGGATGCATCGACGTAGTAACATGATCATCCCTGTGCTTGAATTGAGTGCTGGATTTTGATTTTCCCAACGTCATATTTCCCCAAACTACTCTAAGCTTCCTAATACGCACCAACCCGGGCGTTGAAATTACCGAAGAGGACAAACTTGTCATCTTTTGGAATCATGTATAGTATACCTGTCAAGGACTCATAGAACTTAGCCTTTAAAATGTCGGTACGGGCCATTGTTGGAGCATAGACACTAATAATTCTAGCGTATCTTGAGACATTGAGATATAGCCGAAGTCACATTAAACGTTCATTGATTCCTTTAGGAAGTTCAGCAAGCCTTGGCACAAGTGTGCTACGTACAACAAAACCAACACCAGCTACACTATACTCCTCAGCGCACTTTCCCTACCAGAAGAACGTGTAGCCTCCTCTAATTTCTGGAAGTTGACCAGCTAAACTAGTTTCCAAGAGACCAGCTACATCTATAGAATATCTCTCTAGTTCCCTAGACACCAGATCTGTTCTGCGTTCAGGAGCAGATCCCAAAGGACTAGCGGACGATAAATGGAAGATGATCCAATGAGATGTTACGCAGCATGCCCCAAACTGTAACCCGACATGGGTATGACGATAAACTACATCCGACAGCAAGGCGTCTGATCCGGAGGTTTTGAGGAGCGTGGAATCCCCTCTTAATTGCTGGTGTTCCCAGGTCCATCCTGACCCGGGATGGTTCGCACTTGTTACGGTCCCAGCTATGGACAAATACTTAACCATCCAAACTGGGAGTAAAAAGTGTAAAAATAGGTTTTAATACTAGCAATACATCTTTGTAATAAAAATTATTACCAGTTATACTTTTTTTAAAAAAATATTACCAGAAATACTTTTTGAAAAAACTATTACCAGGAATAAAAATCTTGTCGGCATTAAATAACCCATTGAAGTTGATATGCCGTAAAAAACGCCAAACTAAAGTGTAACATTCATATTTCTTCAAATCTTATACAATTATAGGAAATATATATTATATCCACCAACTACATTTTTCCTGTTCTTCACCAAATACGAGGCCCAAGAGCCACTCAAGGTAGAAAGTTAGTGAATGAGATTGCTGTAAGAGTATAACGGTTGACCTGGCACTTGAAGATTATAGTGTTTGTGGAGCACCCTCACCGGAATTTTTTTTCACACTGTAGCAGTTGTCCGAATGCATCTTCCTTCTTGTCATTGGAACCCGAAAGGGATGACGAGGATTTGACTCCATAAGCCTGGTATGGCGGATCTTAGCTGTAAAGGTCTGAACTGATGCAACTAACGAATGTAACTCG